TTGGGACCCTTCAATTCTCAAGTTTAAATTTCATGTAAATAGGTGTAATCTCCCAATTTCCATGGTTGACAAAGGGAAGTGTTATTGGCACTCCAAAAATCTCATTCTACACTCCTCACAAGTTTATTTTTCTTTCCAAATATAGAAAGTTTGGAGTGTAGAATAAGATTTTTAGAGTGCCAATAACAATTACCATAACAAATTATGTGTTCAATTCCATTGTTCTTTTAGGTTAACCAAACAAGAAAATTCACAAATTCTTGAAAATAAAATCCTGTCATTTTAAAATTATTTAGTAATATTAAATTTCTTCATCCAAACATAGTATTAGGGTTTTTAGAAGAGGAAGGGGAGGAGGAGAAGAGAACGCATCAATACTTAGCTAAGTTTTGACGATTCAAGTTATTTACAAGGTGTTTTCTATCCTTATTTTTAATAATATTTTGTTTTAGGATTGTTCGTAAGTATTTTTCTCTTGCTAGGAGGCCACAAGCCTTAATAAGAATATGTAGTTTTTTCAATTTACTTATTATTATGCATGCAAGTTTGAATTATTAATTAGCGGTTTAAACTATCTACTTGTCTTAATGCTTGATCACCATTAGGATATTTAGAAAAGTAATTTGATATAATTTTGGTCGGAGGTTGGTCCTTGAAATTGATGAAGGCTTATTGTGGTTAATATGTACAAGTTCACTTAGAATGAAACCACATTTTAGGGTTGCATGGTTTTTCAAATGGGTTTCACAAAGCTTAATGAGTCATGCATGTTTAGATTTGATATGAATACCCCAGACTGGTTGCATGTTTGATATACGCTCTATGTTGGGGGTCAAAGTAGGCATACGTTAGGAAAACCTAACCTTCAAAATATGTATGTGTAAGTGATAAGTAATTGGAAAAACTACATATGATTGTTAGGTTATGACAGAACCCTAGTGCTTTTACAATGTAATTTTCAAAAACCGTTTTTTTTTAATTTATTTTATTTTGTCAATTTATTTAATTATTTTTATTAAATTCGTTTTTATTACTTTAATTCACAAATCAACATTTTCTGAAATTTTGTTTTAAATAATTAATTAAGATTTGATTTTATATAAATTATTCATTTAATCTATGTGGAGAACGACCTTGTTAGAGTCAACTATACTACAATTACTTTGTACTCGTGCAAGTATTTTAAGTGTTTTTATCCCTACTTTTAAAGGTGGTATAAATCCCTATCACTTACCTAGGATCAAAACCCATTCGGTTTCATGTCGTTTGGTTGAGTATTGTAGGTGAAATGCGTTTTGAAAGTTGATTCACGAATATGAAAATTTGGGTTTTCTGGAAATTTTAGTTTTGAGTAGCCAATTTCAGAGCTCAATATCTCTCAATATGCAATGTGGATTTGGAATATTTTTTATTTCTTTGAAACTAGGGATGACAACCTTCAAAAGCCTTCTTGTTTCCTGAATTTTGGTGAAGTTTTGATTGGTCTAAATAAGAGTTAAAAAGAGTTGAGCGAAACTGTCAAAAAACTGGGATTTTTCTGGGGAGTTTCGGGATGGCTATTTTTGGGTGTTGCATTTTCAAATCCTGAGATTTTCTTGTGAAAGAAATTGCATGCTTTTAAAGATGGCATGACAAGCTTCGAAACGCCTATTCTTTTGTTCATTTTCATTGAGTTTTGATATGTCCAAAACTGAAGAGAAAACGAGTTCCCAGAACTACAATTCCAATTTTGCAGCAGTTCTGTTTTGCTTTTTTTTTCCATTTTGTCTTATTTCTTGGTTGATTTTTAAAAAGTACCTAAACCCAAATCAGTTTTTCGTTCCGAATCTGATTCAGACATTTTTATAACCATTCAAGACTTGGTTGTTAATATGAGTATTAGGTTTAAGTTTGAATGTAAGCTTAGTTGATTGATTAAGTATTAATTTGTGGTTTTGTTCTATTGTATGAACTTTGGTGTTTGGGTTTCAGCTTAGATGAAGTGCTAGAGTTCCCGACTGAAGAAAATTATTAAGGCTTGTTGGAAACATGGTAGGGAAAATTCTCTGGGAACCCTTATGCCTATATCTTACTTGGATTCATATAAAAGAATATGTAATATATGATAATTGGTGAAATTGTGTGACTACTTGATAACATGATTCGAATGCTTATGAGTTTGCTTTTGGTTGATATTTTTTGAAGAATACTATTAATTCAAAATGTCATTTGAATATTGTTTCATAATTATCATGAACGATAACTGTGTCATGCATTGTGGACTCATTGGGAAAGTATCAGTGGACTGAATAATTATGATTATTTGTTGAAGTCCCAAATTGAAAAAGTATGAGGTTTATGGAAATACGAAATTAAAAGTAGTTGAGTCCACTCTCAAGGCACCAAGATCTATGTTTAGTCCAAAGTGCACTAAGAGAGTGAAGCCCTTTCGGTTGGAGTCCGATAAAACGATCTTCATGTTTCGGGTTTGGGACTGAAAGTTTGACAAGTTGACTAATGAAAAGAAATGGAATTATATGTTAACTGAGTTAACAAAAGTAGGAGGAAGAGGAAACATTATATTCATGCATCATTATGAATTTCATTGTGTTAAATGCATAGTTATTGCCCTACTGAGCTAGTAGCTTACCTCTTATGAATTATTGACAGGTGTTGAACCGAAAACTTGAAAAGTAGTCGACTTTCTCTAGAAGTCTGCATTGTAAATTAGAGAGTGTGTTTGAATGTTTTATGTGAAGCCTGATGATGTAAATTAAGGTCTGTTTAAGATGTGATTCACACCTTAATTCAAGACTTAACTATAGTCTTCAAATTGGGGCGTGACATGGATCCTAATACAGTGGACGAGATAATGTTTCATGATATGCACCAAATGTTTAAAATCTTTGATATCATCTACTGATTGGCTCTTATAAAATTTGACCTTAGTTTTCATTGATTCATTCAAATCTCCCTACAGTGACATATATTAAAGTTTGTCTTAAATTAGTAAGGGCATGTATATGCATACTCTCGTAGTCTCGTCATACACATTTTTCTACAAACCAACATCATTTTCTCTTCATTCCACGCAAATTCATCGAGAGCCAGCAATTCAGTTAAGGCAAAATATTTTGCCTTCAACATCTTGATTTGTGGGGAGATGCCTTTAATCCACACCCTAGAAGTTTGCCATTAAAGATGTTTTTTCTGCTACCTTGAATGTACTATGGATTTGGGCTTTTCACTACGCACTCCAAGAAGGGGATTCAACCCCTAATCCTCAAAATAATGCTTACCTTATTTGTTATGCTGAGTAGGTTACATATCAAACCCACACAAGGCATGTCCCTAAATAGTTATATCTTTACCGTTAGGGATACTGCAATATCTTGGAGATCCACAAAATAAATCTTAGTTGCGAAATCTTTGAATCGTTCCAAGACTCACTACATCTCACTACGCTACACATGAGAAACATGGTTGAGAGCTCTTGTTGTGGATATTCGAAGTATTTGTGGTTTTTCATCCATCGTTGAGTCCTAACGACGATCTATGAAGATAATGCCACCATACCAAGACATGATAAATAAACAAAGTCAACACCAAACATATTGGGTTTACATCACATCAGCAAAGCATTAGAAGATTGAAGTTAAGCAAATCTGTTCCCAAGACAACCTGGTTGACCTCTTAACGAAGTCATTGCTGAAGTCTACCTTCTCGAAGATTGTTCAAGGAATTGGCATGCGTATTATCTGATTTGCAATGTTGTAGCTCTCATTTGGAAGTTTGTCAAATTCAGGGGAGTATCTATAAGTATACTCACTTAATCCTAATGTACTTTTTTTTTTCTTTTTCTATGATTAGGAGCATATTTCCCTTTGGAGTTTTACTACCTGACCAGGTTTTAACGAGGTACCCATCATGGGCTGATCATACCTTTGTGTGTTCTACTTGCGTCTTAAGATGTTTAGTTTTGACTTGATGCAAGTTCTCACTTTTCTCTCCTTATAGACCCATGATAAAATTTGTATTACTTGTAGAGCAAGTTTCTCTCACCTTACTATAAATCACAAACAAAAGGAAATATACATCCCATAAATTCCTCAATTCTCTCTCATCTTTGCCATACATATAAGAGCAAATAGGCCACAACAAAATGCAATATATAATTAATGATTCCTCCATGCTGATACGAAGACTTTTTATGGTTGTATGAGTAGTAAAATGCAAATGAAGAGATAATATCAATGTTGTATTGGTCCTTCATGCAATTTGCTCTCCAACAATATGGTGTTAATGCTCATTAGATCAAGTTCACGATGTACTGCAATTCTTCAGTTTCTTTAACTTATTTTTGATGAATTATGATATCGTTATTTTCTCCTTCTTGTGAAATTACAACATGTTTGAAATTATTTTTGTAGAAAATACTTTTCCTCCCATTTAACGAGCAATTTTTCGGTATACCCGGCACACCAAATTTTTTTGGTGTACCCTCACTCATAATGGTGAGGGTACACCAAAAAAATTTGGTGCACCCTCACTTTTTGTACACCAAAAAATTTCTAATGAGTAAGGGTACACCAAAAAAATTTGGTGTACCTGGTACACCTAAAAATTTTCCCCATTTAACAATGTCCTCAATGACAATTTTTTCTTTTTCTTTTCATACAGAGGGTATAAAATTGAACCTAGATTTCAAATGCAGAAGTAAAAAGTAAAAATAAGAAGAAAAAAAAGAATTTTAATGAAAAGATACTGTTTACTTAACGTAAAATCATATTTTTACTTTAAAAAATTAATCCTAATACTATTTATTTTATCCTTTATTTTGTCTTTATCGTAAAACTTAAAGTTTTCAAACCACTTTCATTAGATTTAAGAAAAAAAATGACAAAAAGTAAAAATAAAAGGATAAAACAATGTAGAAAAACCAAAATTAAAATAATAATAAAGAAAGAAATCCACACAGTATACTCTGATTGATTGATGATGCGTGTATAAAACCGGTTACTCTCTCAGCCTTGCAGTTTATCTCATCTCCGGTTTACGACCGCGGACAACCCTCACTGTAACTTGCCTCTGCGCGCGAAGAGAGCCGTCGATCTTCTCCGATTCGATTCACCGATCAGCGAAGATGAACGACGCAGATGTCTCCAAGCAGATCCAGCAGATGGTGAGGTTCATCCGCCAAGAAGCTGAGGAGAAGGCCAACGAGATCTCCGTATCTGCTGAGGAAGTACGTCTCCCAATCATCCTTCAATTTCCGCATTTTCCCCCAATTTCTTACCTTTCTGCAACCCTGAAATCGATCTTAATCTCGATCCAATTCATTGGCAGTCAATTTCTGTGTGTATATGCGTAATTCGATTGTTTATTTGGGTGGTTCTGTAGGAATTCAACATTGAGAAGTTGCAGCTCGTCGAGGCGGAGAAGAAGAAGATCAGGCAAGAGTATGAGAAGAAGGAGAAGCAAGTCGACGTCCGAAAGAAGATGTATGATTACTTGAATCTTTCTAATTCTGTGTATATTATCTCAATTGGTAAATTTATCTCATTGTTTAATGTTTTTATTGGTGAAACGAATGCGCTTTCTGCTGTTTGGTTTTGAATGTTAGTCACTGTTAGGTTGAATTCGGCTTTGGAAGTAGTTAACATGTGGAATGCGGTAGTGAATTCGATAGTTGGGAGGTGGTGAAGATAGTTGCTTTCGTCGATTTTATGGATTTCGATGAAAATCGAGGGATTTGGTTAGAAATTAGGTTGAAACTTGAAAATGAGTTGATTATTCTGGAGGAGTTGGATGTATATGAAATGATTGCAGAATTTTGATGATCCTGAAAATTGTGTCCATGTTGTATTAGGATTTCGAAAAACCAGACTTATGAAGTCATAGCTTTAGCTCAAAGGGTATTGAACTAGGTGGGGGATGTGGTAGAACGAGGTTCAAATCTTATTGTAAACAAAATGAGTTCTGTTTTTGCGGGGTTCAATTTGGGTTTTTGGGAAGGCTTTCCTTTTGTTTTTGTGTCCCTTGGCTCTGCACAAATGCCACATATGTGGGTAAGTAACTGTGTGTTTCATGGGTTGTTGCAGTGAATACTCGATGCAACTCAATGCTTCTCGTATTAAAGTTCTTCAGGCTCAAGATGATGTGGTTAACTCCATGAAGGAGGCAGCATCCAAGGATCTTCTGAATGTGAGCCAAGATCACCATGCGTACAAAAAGCTTCTGAAAGATCTCATCGTTCAGGTTTGTTATACTTCTTATGTAGTTGACAAGGTTAACCTGCCTCCCGGGTTTTTATGTGAACCTACATAACTATCTTCTAGTGGAAATGGCTTGAATTTAATGTATTATTCAGGGTCATGATTTCATATCCTTCATCAAGAACAGATTGCTATAACAAATTAGTGAATTCAATTACTGAGCTCCTGAATGGTCTCTACTTTCTAGTTGACTTGAACTTTATCCATACTTTCATGGATAAATTAATTATTACCATTGGCTTACTGAAAATAATGATTTTGTGTTGCAGAGTTTGCTCAGGTTGAAAGAGCCTGCTGTTTTGTTGCGTTGTCGGAAAGATGACCTACATCTGGTGCAGGCTGTACTGGAATCAGCGGGAGAGGAATATGCAGGCAAAGCAAAAGTTCATTCACCAGAGATAATAGTGGACACTACTGTCTTTCTTCCACCTGCTCCTACCCATCATAATCCCCATGTTTCTTCCTGGTATGTTCCCGTAGTTTTATAATTAAACCTAACATCATCCAGTTTGGAAATCCATGAGTTTTGTACTCCATGGCTTTCTAGCTGCCGGATTTAGTCAGCCTTGCTAATGTTTAGCTTATCAAACAGTTCTCTTCTTTATTTAGAGAAAGTGAATGATCGAACTTGCTGATAATAGTTTATTGGTTGTTCAGTTCTGGAGGTGTAGTACTGGCTTCTCGAGATGGGAAGATTGTTTGTGAGAACACGCTTGATGCACGATTGGACGTTGTATTCCGTAAAAAACTTCCAGAGGTATTTTCCTTGCAAAGTATCAGTTTGTTTTTTATGCAATGTAACACCATTCATGCCGGTTTATATATTTAAGCCACCTTATAATCATACTGTGATATTCGCCTGAGGCCACTGTTAACTGAGCTTCTAATTCTTGTTATCGCAGATCCGCAGAAAGCTCTTCGGTCAGATTGCTGCATAAATGGGATGATGAATTGTATTGTGTTTTTATTTTGTACCCCAAGCTATGTGGCCTTGAGATTAAAATACCGGTCATCGACCATCGGATCTGTTGTCCGATTAATCGTTTGCGTATGTCCGATTTTCTACTTCTTTATATTTAGCTGTTATTTGATTTGGTGTTCATATCGTCTGGGACATATTTGCAGATCTACTCATTCATGCTAGTAGTGGGATGGTATTAATAAAAGTTTGCAGCTTATTAGACTATTATATTGGGGTTTAAACTTTAAATTGTTTAATTAGTCTGGTGAAGATGAATGGGAGATCACGTGAGCTGTCACGTGAACCATATCTGTTCTGCATTAATTGTCGTTTGTCTTTTTGGGTAATTACCTGTAAAACGACAAGAATGTTGCCTTGTTATACTATTTTGTCGATATTATCATAAATCAATGTGGATTTGATTTCTAAGCACATCATGTTCCCGTCACTTGTATTACTGTTACGGGAGATCAAATCTTCTACATTTAAGATAAGTGTACTCTTTCTATAATTTTAATTATTGTTTGACACATATTGGATATGATCATAACGATAAAGATGTCCACATCAAATTCGGGTGCAGAAAATTTTGTCTCCTATCACCGGAGCTTCCCTTTTGTTAAGGTTTATTAGCTCCACGAATGCACCACTCAATTTACATCATTGCTCGAAATTTTACTTCTTTTCTTGGTGGGTTGGTTGAAAAGTGCTCCAACGGTTCAACCCAGTTTGACCAAAACAATCATTTTGGTTTGATTTGGTTTGGTTACCAAATGAAATTGTTTGTTTTTTGTGAGGATAAGAAATGTTTCATATTGGCAAGTTATTAACTTTTGTATGTGCTTATTATGAATTGAATTTTTTTTTATTGTCAATTTTCTTAGGTCGAAGCTTGATCATTGCCAACTTGTGGGATACCCAATGGCTCACTTGGCTGGGTCATGGGGGCGAGCAACTAATGGTCTCGCAGGGTCCTTTTGGTCAATGTGTGTGTTCGTAGGATTGGCTTGGTCTAGTAACTGTCAACATGGATTTTCGTTGGAGTAAAAGACGTGCTATAGTAGGTTCGTCAATTGCGGTTGTCTATTCTGCTTAAAAAGTTATATGCCCAAGAGCAACTCCAGCGCTGGAGCTCTTCCCCCAAGCTATGCACTATTCAATTCACTTGATGAACAATAACTGCCCTTAATGAATAGTAATAGCTCTGACAATAGCATTTGCATCTCCACAGTTACACTTCAATAGCCCTGGCAATAGGCAATAAAATATTAGTATTTTTTTTTATTTATAAAATAATACAAAATAATTTTAATTGTAATATCGGATAAGATTTTTAATCGTTCTCGTTGCGTCACGTGTCATTATCCGAAGTATTATTAAATAATACAAAATAATTTTATTTGTAATTTCGGATAAGATTTTTAATCGTTGTCGTTGCGCCACTTGTCATAAAATCCGAAAAGACAATTATTGGGGATGGATTTCCGATAAATTTTTTAATCGTACTCGTTATGCCACGTGTCATTATCTGAAAATACAATTATTGGTGATGAATTTCTGATAAGATTATTAACCAATCAAGTGATCTGTTTACAATCTTTGATGATAAATTTCCATCGGATTTTTAACGAATAATGGCATGCCACGTGGCATTATGTACAACCTAATCGTTTCTGAATCCTCCATATAATCCACCATCCATCCTCACAAATCTCATACCAATTTTCTCAAGATCTCTATCATTATTCATAGTTTTTGCTTCCTTCTTCACAAAAATATGTATCATTATTCATAGTTTCTGCTTTTTTCTTACAATGTTTTCTTCTTCCTCAAGGATGATGTGGGAACTCAATCATGAAGAGGAAGAATTGTTTAACCAATCAGAAGCAATGTTCAATCACCAGGGGCAAAAAATGAAAGGGAAGAGGATGAGGAGCGTAGAAGGAGAGATGACGAAGTAAGAAAGGGCAGAGCCTCACATTCCTGTCGAGTCATCCAAGCTGTGGCTCAGATTTGCAGGCCCAGCCATTCCGAAAACCTAGATAGAAGCAGGCAACGATGAGGTATGAAACTCTTGGATGATTATTTTGTCCCTAATAGTGCATTCCCTGATACGTACTTTAGACGTCGTTTTAGAATGGAACGACATTTGTTCAACAAAATCATGACTGTTGTTTGCAACCATTATTCTTACTTTGTGCAAAAGAAGGATGCTTTTGGTGCTATGGGTCTACTGCCTGAGCAAAAAATCACTGCTGCCTTGCGGATGCTTGCATATGGAGCATCTGCAGACCAAGTGGATGAGATAACGAAGATGGGGAAATCAACCATTCTTGAGTCCCTGATGAGGTTTTGCGGAGCAATCGAATCTATCTACACCGCTGAGTACCTCCGCAAACCTACAAACATGGACTTGGAACGGCTGTTGAAGAAGGCCAAGATGTGTGGTTTTCCTGGGATGATTGGAAGCATTGATTGTATGCACTGAACGTGGAAAAACTGTCGAAGTGCATGGCAAGGCGCTTATGGGACAGAAAATGAGCAAAAAGTATCATTCTGGAGGCAGTGACATCTTTTAATACATGGATTTGGCACGCCTTTTTCGGGGTCCTGGGAGCTCAAAATGACATCAATGTCATTGCCCAATCCCCAGTGTTCAACGATGTCCTGCAAAGAAAGGCACCAAAAGTCACGTATGAGGTCAACGGACGTATGTACGATGGGCCATACTACCTAGCTGACGGCATTTACTCGCGATGGTCAACATTTGTCAAAACAGTGCCACGTCTGCGAAGTGCAAAGGAAAAACACTTTGCGAGCTGTCAAGAGGGGTGCAGGAAGGATGTGGAGCGTTGTTTCGGTATCCTCCAAGCTCGCTGGGCGATCGTCAGGGGTGCTGCCAGATTGTTTGATGTAAAGTCGCTTCGATCCATCATGATGACGTGCATCATTCTTCACAACATGATTGTGGAAGATGAGTACGATTATGAAGCCATTGATGAATATGAGCCAGACACGATGAACAATTCAAGAACACGTATATGTTGTGCTCATGACGCCACCGATGAGCTTGTGCAACATGAGCCATTACAAAGGGATGGACGTTAGAATGAAAGGCTAATTCAACGATATACTGCATTTCAAATGCCAGACCTGCACAATGCCCGACAAATTGACTTGATATAACACAAGTGGGCATTGAAACAAGCTAAAGATAATTAAGTTCATTTAGTTTGTTTTTTTGAATTTGGTATGTTCATGTTATTAAATTTGGTGTGTTTTATTATTTGGTATGTTTATGTAATTTTATTTGGTGTGTTTTATTATTTGGTATGTTTATGAAATTTTTTTAGTGAGTTTTTTAATATCCGGTATGCTTATGTAATTTTATTTGGTGTGTTTTTGTCATTTCAATAAATATTCTCTTAGTATAAATAACTTACCAAATTAATTTGCATAAATATTCAATAAATTGGAAACAACATAAATAATACAAACAATAAATAATAAATTACAACCCAAAGTGATTGGAAAATTATGGGCTCCAATTACAAAAACTACTCTATTCATCATCACTTAACCAATTTGTGGTGCTAGGATGATCTTCTCTTGTGGTGCTAAGACCATCTTGGCTTGCTCTCACTTCTCTTGCACGTCTCATTCGCACCACGTCCGCTTTCTCTGACTTCCAAAAAAATTTAGAATTTGGAGACTTCCTTTCTAAAGGCGTGTTCATAATCTCACGATCTCGTTGAGCCCGTCTTTCTTCTTTAACATGTTCTCTTTCTTGCCTAAGTAGCTCTCTTTCTCTCTCATTAGCCTGAAATTCTCTCTCAATTGCTGCAGCTTTTGCGTCCTCTCTAGCCTTACAGCCTCATATTTCGCCAGTTCCCTCGCCAAAGTCAATTCACCTTAGCGAGTAAGTTCTTCCATGAACTTTGCATAATCATTCTTGGAAGCACTCCATTTTCTCTTTGAAGCATTCTTACCTTAAAGCCTAATTGGATAACGAGTCGAACCCGACGCTTGTTCAGGAAGGGGCGTTTCGGGCACTTCTTCTGCATCATCTTCATGAACATGCGAGACATGATCGGGTGTAGAGTGTAGAGGGGTGCTGTTCATGTGCACTTTTGGACCGACTGGCTCAACTCTAAATTTAGGACAATCTTTGACAATATTCCTGTCACATCCCGGCCCGGGCAGGACTACTTCCCTGACCCGCTCCACCACTGTAGCACGATATTGTCCGCTTTGGGCCCCGACCACGCCCTCACGGTTTTGTTTTTGGGAACTCACAAGCAACTTCCCAATGGGTCACCCATCATGGGATTGCTCTAGTCCCCTTCTTGCTTAACTTCGGAGTTCCTACGGAACCCGAAGCCAGTGAGTTCCCAAAAGGCCTCCTGCTAGGTAGGGATGAGAATATACATATAAGGATCAATCCCCTGGGTGATGTGGGATATCACAATCCACCCACCTTAGGGGCCCAATGTCCTCATCGGCACACACGCGACCAGGGTTAGGCTCTGATACCAAATTGTCACATCCCGGTCCGGGGCGGATCACTACTTCCCGGGCCCGCTCCACCACCGTAGCACGATATTGTTCGCTTTGGGCCCCGACCACGCCCTCACGGTTTTGTTTTTGGGAACTCACGAGCAACTTCCCAGTGAGTCACCCATCATGGGATTGCTCTAGTCCCCTTCTCGCTTAACTTCGGAGTTCCTACGAAACCCGAAGCCAGTGAGCTCCCAAAAGGCCTCGTGCTAGGTAGGGATGAGAATATACATATAAGAATCAATCCCCTGGGCGATGTGGGATATCACAATTCCAACATTCCCACCGGTTGAATGATTTATTTTTGCTTTTGGTTTTGGTAGTGTACCAAGTTTGTGCTTGAAGTTCCTATACAATGCAGGAGAAGAAATAATTATAATGAAAATAAGTAACAAATAAATAATACAAACAATAAATAATAAATTATGTAGGTAACAAATAAATAATACAAACAAATAATTATAATGTAAGTACGTAACAAATAAATAATACAAACAAATAATTAAAATGTAAGTATGTAACAAATAAATAATACAAACAAATAATTATAATGTAAATTTGGATATCAAATAAATAATATATTGTTACCTGATCTGAGTAATTTTCCCCACTTCGAATATTACTACTAGCTTGTGCCAAGGCGTCTCTCCACGTACTAAACGATTGGCTAA